TAATTATATAATATATACAGCTAAACTGAAATCCGGGTTGAACCGCGTGCGTGAACAGAATTTTGAAGAGGCACGATATGAGAATAGTAGTCACAGCCAAAAAACAAATTTCCACTTTTCAAGAATGCCTAAGGACTCGATACCCAATGAGGCACATGGCATATATGAAAAACCATGTTCCACCTTCTCCCGCACTTATATCGGGACCAACCGAAGAGTCTACAACAGAGCCTTGTGTCATGTCACAAAACCCTTAAAACGTGTCACTACATGGAGAGTCGGCAATTTGAGACCTGAGTGTAGTCATACCTTTTTGAAAATGGCTTCAAAGCCGAAACACCAGACGCGGTTCAACCCAGACTTCAGATTATCAGACTGCTGATGGCAAAAACCTATTCGAACATCTTGGGGTTGGTAACCTGACAATATTTCAATGTAAATGACATCTCATTATTGAAATCAAATAATAAATATTCGTGATATTTTTCAACTTTTCAGTGCTTCTTTCAACTGGAATGAAAAGTTCCAAAAATTTCAACAATATTTGTACATCGCTGAATTTGATAACAATGCTAACAGCTGTGGTGGCATGTCTCACGAAAGGTAAGAAAATTCAATGTTTGTTCATGCACAAAATAATGAAAAATACCCCAAGGCTATTTATTGTATTGATGAATTCGCAGACCATTTGAAAGGGGTTCTTCAAAATCGAATATAAAAAGCATGTGTCTGTGTGAAGTAGCAATTTAAGATTGTATTGCGTAATATCTTGAGATTGAGGCATAACTGATCATTAGTATAACAGCCATGAGTTCAGATGTCACTATTACTGGATCTGTCATAATTAGACACCTTGGTGAAGAAAAGACATCTTACCTCATAAAATCTTGTGAAAGGGATGGCTACTGTCAATTCCGAAATTTTAACTTTTTTCATTTCCTTTTGAAAAATTAAAGAAGTCATGATAAATATCTTTCAGCATTTTCCCGTCAACTGACTCTTTTCCTTTTCTGTTGCTATATGTAGTTCGTTACTCCCTGTAATCCATAATCATTCTAATCATATAAATATAGGGTCTGTAGCCTAGAATCTGTGTCATTTAATTGAAAATCTGCTAGTGGGACTGTCTTCACTTGTTTATAATATTATCAGAAACCCCATTTTCTTACTTCTACTACTTCTACACTAATCTTTCAGGTAATTGCTAGTTTTTCATAGATATGAATGTGTACGAAATTGAAAAAAATACTGAGAAACAATTTTCGGTTATTTGTGATCAATTTATTTTTTATTTGGACTGATATAGTCCTGGAATACCCAAAAAGTAACATGGGAGCGTGACATTATAAATGAGATAGTTGAAATTCTTTGATATTTCACGCTTTGTAACTATACTATCTCTGATCACAACGAAACTCTTACACAAAATTTAAAAATTTATCATAGTTCTCTCTCTATTTCCAAATGGCTGTAACCCTCGATAATTCTAATGAAATGAGACAAACTCTTTATAAGTGTGTCGTGCCTGGAATGATCTAAAATGCATTTTCAATATGGATAATATAAATACACATTCCGATTTTCAGTGGATATTAATAACTGGAAAATCTCTGTAAATGATATCGATGAGACTCACCGAAAACATGCTGGAAACGGGGGATTTTTGCCATTTGGTATGGCTGGAGTAATAGCTGCAACACCTAATTGTTTTTTTGGTTATACTGGATTTGAATCATCATCAAACGCCAGCGAAGAAGCAAAAAATCCAAAAAGGGACATACCAATAGCTATAATGATCTCTTTACTTATTACTCTGATGTCTTATTTTACAATATCAACAGTCATAACACTGGTTTGGCCTTATTATCTACAAGTAAGTATATATCGAGGAAATTTAGTTAGAATGTAATAAACCAAATTATCCAAATTCATTTCGTTACATCTTGGTATGAAGTCTTCATGAGGTTACTACAATTCAAACTAGTTGACCCGACAAATTTCGTACATCCTCAGAATAATTGAATGTTGTGTCAAATTATCAGCTGACTACTATCAATTTTTTCATATTGTGTATGTCAAGCAAAAAGTCAGGCCATACTTATAGGAATATTGTTGCCAGATCATTTTCATGCTTAGCAGTAGATTTGATGTGAGAAAAACACTTGGAATTATATTTCATAGATACATACTATAAACATGGTGAATCGCATTATCTTACATCATTTAATACATACATCATATAATAATAATTATAGAAAGTGAACTGAGTCATTGGTAGCAAGAGTGCCACAACNATAGGAACATTGTTGCCAGATCATTTTCATGCTTAGCAGTAGATTTGATGTGAGAAAAACACTTGGAAATATATTTCATATATACATACTATAAACATGGTGAATCGCATTATCTTACATCATTTAATACATACATCATATAATAATAATTATAGAAAGTGAACTGAGTCATTGGTAGCAAGAGTGCCACAACAGAAAATCTGCTAAACAAAACGTTACATCTGGCAACACTGAACACGGCGCTCCTCTCAATTTCATCTTCATCTGCAGTGGATTGATTTGCAATATTCCACAAACTAATTACATTACGTCGCGGTAATGCTTATATAACCCAATGGAACTCTCTCGAAGCTGGTAGAGCAACTCTAGAAGAGACGGCGGTCTAGTATTTTCGGTAAGAAACACAAGTGGGGCTGCGCGTGACCTTAACTATGGAAAATATTGGGAAAAGTTGTCGGGTAATTGTTGTAGATTACAAAAATAATATTATACACAGGGTGTTTCATTTGAAAAATCAAAGTTGCTACTACTGTTTGTTTGAAGGTGGTTGACAATGTTTCTTGGTGCATTTCATCAGTTCGGACTACCATTGTCTAGTATGATATAAATTGATTTGAAATCCCTGAAACAAACTGTAAAAAAATTAAAAAGATTAGCTGAAAGACTAGACTAGATAATGTAAGTCCGAACTGATGCCTTATGTCTGTTTCATCAGAAACGTCTAATGTACCATCCACCATGAATCAGCCTATATATTTTCTCCTGTCTTTCATAGGACACGATGTTGATGTGAAATTATTCAATGCAGTATGTATTAGCCACCAATCAAATCTTTATCCAAAGTTAACTCAGTTACGAAGACTCCCTTGATTGCTACTATTTGCTCGGGAGCGGTGGCAGGTAATTTGGTGAAAAACCAGGACGTATTCAAGTAACGCTTTATTATTTCACAAACAGTTCACAAAACTGCAACACGTGTTTCAGATGTGTTCATTCCTACTCTTGACTCAAATACCTACATCATATATTTTGTAGTCATATTCATGAATTACAAAAGAATATTTTGAAGAATGCAAGAAATTATCGAATATTTTAATGCAAGTGGGACACTCATGATGGTATGAAGATCCGAAACGTATGCAAACTTCTGATCAAGCGGAATAACGAGTTACAGGTGCATTGAACTTAAAAACTGAGTGAAGATGGGGAAAGCGCCCAATTGACCTTCAATTAGTCTTGAAGTTTCGAAAAGTTCATCACCAAAAGATGATTGTGGTTATTGAGAATCGAAAAGTTATGAAAAAAACTTGATTTGACAACTTTTCCATTCTAGCGTACTTATATTACTCATTCATTTTTCATTTTCTCAGATTTTCCGATAGCTTTCACTCATAAAACTCATACGAAATTTTGTTGTGTCATAATAGTAATGTGTGATCTGAGTCGTCATGACGAGTCAAAAATAACTTTTCTACAAATGTCCGACATTTTATGCAAGGCGGTATGGTAAAATCTTGATGATGGTAAATGCATAACGATCTTAGGTGCTTGGCCTTATGATTATGTTGAGTTTTTGATTTTATAGGTACTTCAGGAACCCTCCAATGTCCAAACTTATTTTAGCTGAAAATTAACTCAACTCATTCATTATCACTATCAACTCCAGCTAAATAGTATTTGAGTTTAAAATTGATGAGATCTTACATTTTTTAAGTTAATTCTTAACATTTCCGAGAATATTGCATCGAACTTCCACTCAAGAATCGGTCCGTCACCTAAATAATGGTTACATCAGACGTTACCCAGAAATATGAAATGTTCACAATCATAACAATTCAAATAAAGTCTGATTTCAAATGAGTTATTTTTTCAGGTGTGATAACAACTTTCATAGATCTGGCTCAACTTGTGGATTTTAGCACAATTGAATCATTATTGTCATACACTATTGTACCTGTGTCCGTGCTCGTTTTAAGGTGTGAAGGTATTTATTTTTTACTGGTTTCCAACTCATATTAATATCTATTACTTTATCATTCAAAGGTACAAGGCAACTGATGAGATCAAATTGGAGGTTTCTGCAGAAGAAAGTATAATCCCTAAATCGAATATTATCCAAAAATTATTCAATTTGAATAACCAAACAGCTTCAACGAAGGAAACGTCACATATAGCCAACTGTGCTATTTTGTTATACGGTAAGTGATTTTTTTTTAATTTCACAAGAATTTATGCCTGAATACTGAAAGTTTTAACTAAATCCAAATGATGTGTCATTAGAACCATTACATCTCATACGTCCTTATTTCATTTTAAATTATTTATACATTGGATGCCCAAAAATGTCAAATTTAACAAGAAAATATTTACTCATGTTGAGAATAATAATGTCATTTTCAAAATCTGACAAACGACAATTTTTTATTCGTTCGTCGATGTTCTCTACTAGATGCGATCATCTCTACAATATTGGCAACTACACCTCACTGGGAAGAATTTGCTACCTGTACATTCGGCGCGGGCATCGGTGTTGGTGTGTACCGGCTTGTGGCTGGTCACGCAGCTCGACAAAAGTCTCCAAAACACCATGGAAGCTGGCTCGATATCTGATGAACCAGTTGCCATCTGCAGCGCAGTCTTTGGCCTCTTGGTCGTAGTGGTGGTATCCAACGTGGAGGTGGCTCGCTAGAGGGTCGAAGTCATCGGTGGCAGCTGGTGGAAATGCACCTGGTTCCACATCTTCTTATATTTACGCAGCTCCGACTGAAAGGCAGCAAACTCATCTTCACTGTCATCCACAGCTACCTTTTTGCTGGCACTCGACCCCTTCTTCGCACTTTTCTTAGTGCTCGTCGTTTCAGAAGTAGGAATGGTCAAGGGAACATCCTGCATGTGTGTCGTACTCAGAAAATAAAATAATTAGTTAGTCCTCAAGCCAATGGGGTAGAGCGATTTTTAGGAATGTAAGCTTTCACGGCTCGCATTATTGTTTTGGTTGGTTTTCGGGTTTTGCCGTGGTATTTTTCGATTATAATCTTCAAACGTTTTAACAGCAACTGCGGCATTCATCTTCAGTGACGTGGTCGAAGTACTCTTCTTAACCTGCCTAGAAGAGTATAACAGTGATGACAACACGGAATGCATACTTTTGATCATTTTTAATTATTCTGATGAAAATAAAAAAAAGACCGTTTGGATACCACTACATAATGTTGGTAGGAGAGATATTCTTGTCCTACTACTTTTGCTTCACCGTAGATGTTTTGCCCTATATGATTGGGTAGTCTGTGAGAGCGATGTGGAGGAAATGCCATCATAGCAATGCCATTATCAGAAGCAAATTCGAGTGCTTCATGTGTGTTCCATGATCATCCACAAACACCAATCACCCTATTTTTTGAGGATTGACCAATTACAATAAATACCTTTATACCACGCCTAATCATTTTCAGCGCCAATTGATTCAGGAGGAGCACCATACAACATCATATCCTCATAATCAGAGCGTGGAAATATAAGCAAAGATGAAAATGGGATTTATTTGTCACAGTTCCAAATTCATTGAAGTTGTATTGAATCATATCTGCAGGCCACTTCCGTCACAATTTTTGAGGCCATAGATCATTCTGGCCACTTGTTCTTCTTCTGAGAATACTTTTTTTACATCCAAATTAGACCTCATATTCGAAGGTCTAAGATCCTGAACTCCGAAATTTCAATACATGTAGTGACAGAGTGGCAAAATTTATACTGTAAACCCACTAGATTATATTAAGAAATTTTACATTCTGATAAGAATAAATTAACCTGTATCTCATTTTTGAGATTTCCTGAAAAAATTGGAGGATTCTTAACACCAAGCTTGCTTTGGGTCAGGAGCGGATTCCTGACCGAAATGAAAATTTACTATTCCTCTGGATCTTCACCTGAATAACGAATCGTGAACTGTAGAATCTCCTTTGGTATCATTCAACCATGAATTAATTTCAATTTCAAGTGGATTACGATTGGTTGTTGAAGACCCCCTAAAACTTCCAAAATTTAGCACTACAGATTTGCTAAATTGAAGGACCTCCAGATTATTTCCGACATTTTCCTGGCTAGGTGATTGTTTCAATTTTGATGAACCACTAGCATTTGCTTCTGAAGTAGTTAAGGTCATTGTTATAGACAAAAATTCATATTATGAATGGACTTACCCGTTACTTGCTGTAAATTTAAAACACAATCTATGATAATCATTAAACAATTTTCACAAACGTTTTTTATTTTTAGACGCGTTTAGTTTGCACCACAGCTTCCTCAGTAGAACAGAGCTACGTAGCTTTCACCGTTTTTATAAAAATAGCTTGATTAGTGTCATGAATAAAAATGTATATTTTCCATTTTCAATAAAACAACATTCTAATAGTGAATTGGAGTTTGCCACTTATCGACAGTGATGCAAAAGTTCTAGCTACGACAATCACACAAGTTTTCCTTTTTTCAGTTCTAACTGCATTTTTCTTCACATGGATATTGGTTCACGGAGTTAGCGTTCTCCCAGAAGTTATGTATTACATTTGCCTGTCATTTACAATAATTGGATTACTACTGCTGATAATCATAATGTTGAGGCAACCGGAATCTAATGCTACATTACATTTCAAGGTAAGTCGTTTATTTTTAAAGTATTATGTTCATCAATATAACGACAGTACATAAGATACTCACATAATAACTAATACACCAATGTTTCACTCGTTTTTGATAGATATAATAGTGGAACTAAGGGGTCTGGGAGATATCGTAGGTATATTCTAATCAAATATTTATTCAAGTAACACTCGCTTTTAGATACAACTGAAGAGAAATTCAATGGCGCAGTTAACTCTAGGTAAAAATTTCACAATGTAGTTGATACAGAGACATACAGTTGACATTGATTTGTTAATGGGTGCAGCCGTTCTTGAGATCTTTTATTATTTTTTATACCGCAGTTTGCGCTGGACAGGCCCTATCCCAATTCATTCGGAAGGGGGGGGGCGGTATTCTCAACCAACGACCACTACCCACACCGTGGGGTAAGTGATCGGGTGTTGAAAACTAAACCGAGTCCATCAGCTGCTCGGGCAGCTGCCCTAAAGAAAAATGCATCAATTCCTGCTCTCTCATGGTCACGGACCATGCGGAGAAGGGGATCCGAACTCCTAACGACTTTACAGTATCATTCTGTCACGTAGACAATACAAACTCAAAAGTCCACAGCCTCCCTGTTGTCGGGGGAAGTACAACCGTGGAACGGACGATTTGGAATACAAACTCCTATAGAGATGCATCATTTTTCGGGTTTTCACGTCGAGTTAATACAACTCCTCCAGAGTCCACTTCACTACTCCAAACGAGTAGAGTAATTGGAACGGCAAGCATATTTGTTGCAGCAACTTTATTCTTCCTCGACAGTTCCGATGACCAGATCTGTCGAAGTTTGTGCTGATACTTGCTGCGGAGAGAGTGATGCCAGGGAGTAAGAAAAAATCTTTGGTATTATGTCAAGCTTACGGAAATGTTTATTTCCTTCTTCAGGGATTACTAAACTGCCGGTGAGACATTGAATTTACTATATACCAACCTCAGTAGGTAATGATTATATAGTTATTGGAATATTTAGGAATATTAAGTCTATAAGTTTACTCACCCAGTTTTCATGAAAGACGTAACATATCAACCATAATAATGCTCATCATTCGATCATCTTCATTTGATAATGTGTCCAGATTGGTTTTGAGAATATAGCTAGTATCATCCCCATGGGATGTTTCTAAAATCACAGATTTCAATTTGATACTGCTTTTTATCCATAAAAAGCGAAGAATCACATTACTGTCCAATGGTAAATTTCAGAAAATATCGAGACATATAGTTAGTTACACTATATTGTGAGATTTTCATTGTTGCACAAAAGTGCAACATGTTTTTCGCTATACAGTAACTTCCTCAAGCAAGTATGAAAACGGTTCGGGAAGTCCAGTGAAAATCTATCAATGAAGTGTTACTCAAATAAATTATGAATTTTCACCGAATATCGGCCAGTTCCATCACATGTTAAAAAAGTGTTCAAATTGCCATAAATAAATATTATGAAGAAAAATTCAGTAATCCTGCTCCAATAAACTAAATTCTGTATAATAAGACGAATAATGGAAATTATGAAATTGAATATATAACCATAGATGAAAATAAGATTGAAGATCTACAAGATATTTGTGAATGTTTCAAGAATTATTTTGTTACTTTTGGAACAAATGTATCCTGTAGTATTCCTACCCAAAATGGTCCTGCAGTTCAAAATTATCATCCGTGTATCTTAAGCCTACCAACTGCAGAGAGACTCTATGACTAGTTGAAATTATATTTGTTTGGTTGTGATACTCAGATGGTTCACACCGTTCCGAAGAGACCATGCCCGGTACTGATGATGGGGCAATCACCCCGAAATCGGTCTATCGGTTGGTCGGATCGACCAAACGACTTTAATTTCTGCTTTTCACAGTGGGAAATAATTTGCGACTAATTTTCTAAGTCGAAGACGTTGCACAGGTGCCTGATGGTTTTACTTCAACTCTCTGTGCGGCATTGGCTGGGTGGGTTGTTGTTTTTCCATTGGGTATCTGCCACACGTACCTACAAAGTCGTAGGTCTCTTCTTTATTAGTTTGAATTGTATTTGGAACTTAATTTGATGAATTCATTGCTATATAGTATTGGTACAATTCAGTCAAACTTGCACTGTTAGAAAATTTCGTTATTGATGTGGTCTGCACATTTTCTCTCCTGTTTGAGGGGATTTGTGGCTATCGCATGTAAGTTCTTTCATCTCTCATGTTTTATTTAAATTTACTGATTTTAAATATTTCATATCTCTTGTAGGAGGGACTTATTTTTACATCTACTCATCAATTTTCTCACGCAAATTCCACCTTAAAAATCAGATTTGAAATATTGAAAAAGTTTGAAGTGACTTTATCTCGTATACAGCAGACTGTATTTTGCGTTATAAAAACTACCTTGATCAACTGCTAGAACTTCGAAGCTATTGTTTGAATTTGACCGGAGAATGCATCAACTAAGGAACTTCCACGAAGCCTGTACATCGAAATCCAACAGATGAACAGATGGGTGAAAAATATTTCATTCAAATAAAAAGTTGTCTACTTTTACCTACTTTTCGCTATGTCTATCAAAAGATTACAAATCATAATAGTTTGCGTAAATTTTGATTATTTTATTATGTCAGAATGGAACTTCGGAAATAATTTGTTTTTACTTCTTTAATAGTTGAATTTCAAAATATAGTCAAGTTACTGTAAGGGATACTCCTTGCCACACGTATGAACAGGGGTATTCAGAACCCAAAGTTTTATTTTCTTAGTTAAATTATTAAATGCAAACCCAAATTTATTATTGAATTACGTTATAACAAGGGTATTGAATATTTTGATTATGCAAGATGCTTCACTTCAGTCTGTTATTAGTGCCGCTATAGGACCGAATGTGGAGATCTCACTATCATAATCAATCCTGCAGGTTAGGTTTATTTATTGATTTATCGGTCTAGCGATGGGACCGGTCTAGCGATGGGACCAAGATCATATCTAGTTCAGAAAAAATATTCGACAGAATTACCTAACTCGTCTCTTTCTGAAAACTTCGAGCGAAAGAGCAATTAATACAGTGTGTCACTGATCATAAGACAGACAGAATCTCAATCTGATCTGCAATCTAACCTATCATTTTGAATAGTATTCAGTTGGACTTCAGATCAAAAATCGTATCTGACCTTATCTTTACTTCCTATTTCCTTGACATGAAAAAATCGGAACAAAATACTTTTGATTTTGAAAAACTTGCCTGGTAGACGTTAGTGACTTATTTAACAGAAATCTATACATGATGCTGCAAATTGTCACACAAGAACCACAAAAAGTGACAAATATTCTCTTTCAAAGAACCCATTATTCAATATTTCATAATACACTTCCTTCAAAACTACTGAGAAAAGAGTAATTAGAAAACTATTGATGCATGTTTGACGATAAAAGTAAAAGTTTATTCTGTTATGTATAAATACGTTAAATCTGTGTGTAGGAATAAATTTCACATGAAATTCATCTTACCATCATCCGTTAATAACGACTATATTTGCGTTTTTCTCTGATTTGAGAAAGTACATTCTCATTGTTTTTTCATTTTATTATAGGTGCCATGCTCACCCTTCATTCCGTGTGCAAGCGTGACTTGTAATATATACTTAATGATGCAACTCAACTTGTTTACATGGATTGGATTTGTATCGTGGTTAGTAATTGGTAAGCATTGCAAATCTAGAAGGAAAATAATACAAAATTGTGTGGAAATCTCTCAAAGAAAGGAATAATGCATAATTTCAAAATAAACCCTTCACAAATTTGTGTAGATCATGCAATGAACCAACTTTCAACAAATACCTCCATATTATTGTAAACGTCGAATTGCACGAAAGAAAAAATACTCTCGATACAACTACTTTCATATTAACATTGAATTATATAAAAAACACTTTTTCTATTCAGTTTGTACTCCAACCATTTGTTTCGGAAATGAATCAGGATCTTTTACAGGATTGCTACACAATATGGTATATGAAAGAGATGAAATTTAACTTACCTACATGGATTACTGTTATCCCTCAATGGCGGACATCCGATGTTTTGGAATCGGTTAGGTTAGGTTATATCCAAAGTGAGTGGATCTATTCGACCCTCCACCGCAAGTGTTTATTGTTGTTCACACCTATTCACATTCGACAAAATAAACCCAGCTTCTTAACGAAGCCGATTAGTTTGTATGGTGAGTGGTCTTTCAGGTCAGATGGTAAAAGTACGGCTCTGCCGAACTCTAAAAACCTGATTCGGTCTCCAGCGGGGCAGGCACAAATTATGTGCTCTGCTGTTTTGTAATTTCACAAATAGAGGCGACAGACACTGTCTTCCGATAGTCTAAGTCTCTGCGTATGATGATTCAAATTACAGTGACCTGTAAGAAGGTCATCCCTACTGTAGTCCAACAACTGTTTGGTACCAAGCTTCGAAGGGTGAATAAACGTCTTGGAATGAGCCAATCCTGGAAGATTCTGCCAGAAGTCCATAAATTGTCTTGCCATCCAAGTGTTTGTTTTGCAAAGCCTAAAGGGATGCCAATGACAGGTTCTGGTCCGATGAAGCTGCTTGCAGCACCCTCCTCTGCAAGGAAGTCAGCGGCCTCATTACCTTCCAGGCCAGTATGGCCAGGAATCTAGACCATAGACAATCTGTTAAGTCTTCCTATCGCGGAGAGTCGTTTTAGGCAATTTGCTACCAATTTAGACGTTGCTCGGTACGAGACAAGAGCTTCCAACGCTGCTTGACTGTCCAAGAATATTTTATTGACTTGTGTATGAGGTTGGATTCTTCCAATCTCTCCGCACACAATTCAATAGCGTAAATTACCGCTTGAAATGCAGTCGAATAGTTTTCTAGACAAGTTGATATATCTGTCCTGGGTCTGCAACTGAAAACACCTGCACCAGAACCGGAAGGTGTTTTTGATCCATCTGTAAACCAATATTTCCTTCTCCCGGAGGATGCAGTCCTCCCTACTCGAGAACACTACAAGGCAGTTTGTAGTTGACAGTTGGAGGCATAAAGTCAGAGGTCATTTCCAGAATGCTGTGACTTCCAGTGTCAACCAACAGTCTGTTGCACTCTGCATTGAATTGATTTGTGCAATTGGCAATATGCATAAGTCTATATGCAGTCCATCCAGCCTCTCTCTTCAGAAAAATGTGGAGAGAACACTTGCCTTATTGCCTCTTCAGCACCAGCACCAATCTGGATAACATTTCAAGAGAAAGCACTCAATTAATTCATAAAATTACGATGATATTTCACGAATGAGATAAATCTACACATGTCATTGGTGACAGTACGTAATGATTCAATCCCAGCCATAGTAATCTTGTTCAAATAGAAAACAGTATATTTTCAGAAGACATTGATTTTCGGCAACTAACTCCTCCATATTTATACAAAAAAATGTGGGAATTTCGAAAATAAACGAATGAAGCAAGTAATTTCAAATTGAACTCTTGAAAAAGATGTGTAGATTATGTTTCTGTGAAGCTTTTTCTTCCAGTTCGTGTCTGAAAGTCAGCTCTTCCTATGATTTATACATCTTTGTGAAAAGAGTTTACTTTCAAATTAATTGATTTGAAAAACTCCCAAGAAAAATTCCCACCGTTTTTATATGAAAATGGAAGAGTAAGAAGCTAAAACCGTTCTTTCCCAAAAATCAATCCCTTCCAAAAATATACCGCTATCAATTTGAACAAAATTCCTATGGCTGGTATTGAATCAAATAAGCGAATGAATGCCATTACGTACTGTCATAAATGACATGGATAAATTTAACTCATTCGTGACATAAAATCGTAATCTTATGAGATGAGTGCTTCATCTTGTAATGTTATCCAGATTGGTGCTGAAGAAGTAATAAGGCAAATGTCATTTCAAAACATCTGATTTCCGCCATAACAGTGTTCCACGTAAGTGAAATTTTAGCTCTTTCATGTACTACATATATTGTGTAGCAATCCTGTGAATGATATCTGAATAATTTTATAACGAATTTTTGGAGTAGGTACAAACTGAATGATTCAGTGTTCATATAAGAGTAGTTGTTTCGAGATGGCTTTATCTTCCATTTTGTGTCTGAAAGTTACATCTTTGCATAATCTATCCCATAAATTATTCTGTTCCAAAAATATACCGCTTTCAATTTGGAGAAGGCTGTCGTTAAAAAAATATCAATGTTGTTACCTGATAGTTGTCTTTGTTTCTGTTGCAGGTTCTTTAGTATATTTTGCCTATGGAATGAGGCATAGTGAAGAAAATCTCGACAAATAAAGAAAACATGTGAATTGTTTATTTTAATACGAGCTGTATTGAAAATAACCTGATAACCTGCATCTGAATAGTGGTAAAAATTGCATTAATGTTATTGTTTTTGTGAGCCACATTATTTAAGAATAAACAATTAACTAAGTGATGTGATTTCTAATTATCTTTATCGTATAGAAAATCTTGAAAACTCGAAATAAAATCCAGGTCACATAATCAGTAATTCCTTTCATATTTCTGATGATCTTATGATTAAAAGATGGTATATATATATAGATTAAATAACTTATAATTTCATTGTCGAATATATCAGCTGACCTAGGCATATAATTATTAGTAAACATTCCGATTGTATGTATCTAGCCATCCCTGTGATATTATTGAAGAAACTCTAAGGTATAACCTCTGTACATAACATAATTCTCAAATTTCGTGAATCTGTGGAAGAACAAACACCACAAAAATTTTGGTTGTTCCAAAAGTTATATCTCAGTGAATACTTATTCAATCAGTGAACTTTTGCCAACGTAACACAGGTCGATTCATTCGTGTGCCCGAGAGTCGACGAAGGCCATTTTTGCCTGGTCCTGATTGACGAAGGTTCTACCGATGAGAAGTTCATCGGAGTGTTTTGAACCTCCATCCTATGCACCGTTTATGATGAGTCAATCTCCACCAGGGTCTTCAAATACTCGTCCTGGATTACTCTAGGTCGACCACTTCGGAGCTCATCTTCGAGGCCAAAATCTTCGGAACAAAATTTCGCAAACCAATGTCCAACAGACCGTCCTTTAACATTATCATTGCTAAATGCCTGGTTAATTTTACGAGCTGTTTCGGCAGCGCTTTGGTGTACAAATATTTTAAAAAAAACTAATAAATAGAGTTTATTCTATGATTTTTACTATAAGGGTTTTACAAAAACCGCGACATGTGTTTCGCTATACAATAGCTTCTTCAAGCATAACAAATATTTGCCTAAAATCTCTTAACAACATCATACAAATAAACTGAAGAGAGTCAAAAATTGAAATTTGGAAAAAATTAACAGCATCAATGTATCGAGTACAAAATTCTCTATCGATCGGTATACACCACGACACAGTAGAATAAGCAATCCTTTCGTAGATGAGCAAGTCCGTACTTGTTTCATTCACAACAACTTACAAATTTTAATTGTGGTGAGAAAGATTTATAGGACAGGCAAGCCTATATTGTTATGAACATCTAATGTGAAATATTATTTTTGAATAAACAAAGACCTTGTCTCTCCGTGTCAAAAATTGGTGACAAATTGTTCCAAGAAAAATATTTTCTCATTTCTGATCCAAAAATGATCCCATATACTATTTTTGAATAAACAAAGACCTTGTCTCTCCGTGTCAAAAATTGGTGACAAATTATTCCAAGAAAAATATTTTCTCATTTCTGATCCAAAAAAAAATGATCCCATATACTATATTATTTTCATGTACATATATTACAGCAAAAACTTTGAACCACTATTAGAGTTGTGTTTTTATGGTCAGACACATTCTTTCTAAGGCCTTGACTGATTATTAGTTATCAGTCTAGGCTATCCATTGACTTGTACTGATATAAGACAAAAGCCATTACGGGCTGCTTATATTACAGGTAACAACGGTATTCAAATATTAAATTCAATTCGTTTGCTTTTTATACGAACTATTTTTTTTCTCTCTGCTCACTCTTTTTTTCTCTGCTTACTCTTGCTTACTTTTCTGAGAGGTAGCGTTCCATATTCGTGAAGTAAGTAAGTTATAACAATTGATTTTATAAGCTAACTTTTACTTTTTCGAAAACGGTAGTTTTGTCTTTCAATTTTGTGAAAAAGTAATTAACATGATAGAATTGACCGACGAAAATCCATTATTACGTATTCAAAAAAAATACTTCAATGTAAGATTTCCAAACTTTTCAAAACCACGACACGTGTTTCACTATACAATAGCATAATGTCACACTAAGGTGTGTTTTTCGAATACAAAAGCTTTCGTCTTGGAATAAAGACTTATTCAGGACACTGATATCAAAAAAACGATAAAAAAAGGGACTATAAAGTGGAATTTAAAATGAAAAATATTTTTATTTCATCCGTATCAAAGAAATTGTTCCATATCCAGTAAATGGCGTTAGAATCGCACGTTTTCATTCAGTTCATCCTTTTTCCGATTGTGAAGCCTAAGTTTATTAGAAATATCATCAATTTTTTTGAAATGTGGATCCATATTGATGACTAGATTTTTTTTAGTCTTTGCTGTTATTTCCCGGTATTGATCTGGTACAAATATAGAGTCATGCTTGCGTAATATTTTTTCGATCCTCCTAAAGTCTCTGTCAGGGTCTAAATAAGTATGGTCGGTCGGCAGCCGGGTGGTTCGACGTAAGTGCTTTGTTCACTCAGTCAATCAGCTGATGCGTGAGTCGATGGTTCAAGCTGTAGGCTGAACGCACGATTTTCACTTGCTATCATGCATCCCGTGTTAGGAATCACACGTTGAAAGGTAATACCTTGTTAGTCCTTAGCTCGCACAAGTTTCGACTTCTGAGGGTTGTCGTTCGTAGGAGTGCGATAGCTGGTTGACGAAAAAATATTTTAAACATAATATATTTAAATATGCCCGACTTCCATAAACTTATGATCTATTATGCGGAAGTAACCTTTCAGCAGTAGGTACTGATAAAGGCAAATTATAGAGAAATTTTTATTTTGCCCCTCACATGAATCGGATCAAACAACTAAGTGATTTTTTTTAGCGCTTCGTCAACTTCTATACATGGAAGTTTAGAAATGCAAACTTCCTCTATAGGTCATATCCTCGGTCCATGTACAAAAAGTTGCTCTTTCCAAATTTTTGGCAATTATATGTATTACGAAGTAATGAAACCACATCTGCCTCAGGTAGAATGCCTTTGATGTTGTTAACTTCGGAAGAGGAATTGTCTGTTGCAAGTCTATTGTAACGAATGCCATATACTCGGACTCCCGTACATTCTTTTGTCAGCCTTTTGAAGTTCGATTGCTGCGAGATAATTCTCTTGATGTTCTTGTCAGCATCACAAATGCTGCAATTATCCCTTTTAGGGTGGCCGAATGATAAATTGAACTTAATTGCAAAAAGTTTAGAATATGAACTCTTCTTCATTCTGAATTTTTCGGCTGAGTTGTATTCATTACATTTTCGAATATAAAGCTCATACATACTTTGGTTCAATAGGGGTGAAAGATATTTTTTATGTGGATTTTTATTCCTAGAATAATGTGACTCTTCTGCAGGAAAGGTCTTTATATAATCTATGATGCGCTGTATGACTTCTTCAACCATCTTATGAGGTATGTTGGAGTGCTGTCCTCTCCGATCCAAAGGAGTAACTGACACACCACTTTGTATTCGACTTTTCAGAACATCAATTTTTCATGGTTGCGTTCTCTCAATACATGTTTTTTAATAATACTCTTGAAGAGCAAAGCGTTCTTTGCATTCACGTCTAGTTTGTAGAATTGAGCTGCTCTGTCTTCTTTATCAAAACGTAAACCACATCGTAGTCTATATCTTTCCCGGCACAAAATCCCATCTTTGGGTTCTATTTTAGGAAAAACTGTTTTTATAGGATGAGTACTCTTCACCCCTCCCTCTAGTCAGAGTTGCCTTTTGTTTTTCCCACATCTGTGTATACATTTTGGTTTTTTATGTCTTCTCATAAACAGAAAAGTGTTTTTTTATACTCACTTGAGACTTACTCTCCTCAGCACAATGTTCTATGTTTCGAAGGGTAAAATCATTTGCAATTCGTATTTCAATCTGACTATTGTTATCACTTTGGGATGCAGGGTCACCTATTACGGAAGAACAACCTATCTGCTGAGTTACATTTTTTTTTCTCATTTATGTCAGGAAAATAGCGATCAAATGGATTTTCAGGATTTCTCTTGTCATTAAGTTCGCGTTGATATTCTGCTGAACTGTCCTTCGAAGAACAACTTAACTTTTCCTCATCTGGAAAAAAGTCTAAATCACTGTCACTTCCAAAAAAATGCCGTCCCGATGCAGAAGAATCATCATTTTCCAAACAGTATGTGCAATTGACAGTATCATATCATGTTTCTGATTTTTTAGTATTATTCCACCATACGAACATCCACTGATTGAAGGAATATCTTGTTACACATCGCATTCTTTTTGTTTGGATCTGAAATGAATGAATGTAATGAATACAGTATAAACATATACTGAAAACATGGAAAATGAGAATTGAAACTATGTTTTTTACTACTTTTATTAATGTATAAGTTTGAAACTGTCCTTAAAGGACGAAACTGCAGTAAGATTAGGTACAAATAAAAATGGTAAAAAAAAACATAGAAAGTTTCAATTCTCATTGCAATGGATGAAAACACTAACAGCACATGACACCTTCCTCATTGGTCAAGTGAAAAAATCTTGTAACATAACTCCTTCATCTTTAATGAAACCTCATATTCGACACAAATGTTTTCAAAGATTGTAACATTCACTCGTTTCTTCAATTCTAATTGAAGCAAAGCGCTGTCGAAACATCCCGAAAAATGAATCGGGCATATGGAAATGATGGTATTAATGAACGCACTGTCCGACATTGGTTTTTGCAAAATTGAATTCCAGAGATTTTAGCCTGGAAGATGAGCCCTGAAGTAATCCAGGACGAGAATTTGTGGACCTTGGTGGAGACTGACCCATCACAAACGGTGTGTGGGATGGCGGAAAAACTAGCCGTCAGCTTTGCCGAAAGAAGGAAACAACACATATGCACGGAGTCAACAACAGGAGGACTATCACCATCAAGGCTCTACTCAAACTTTTGATCACTTGATGAAACTTGATGATGATAGCACGACCAGCTGTCGAAAGCGCTCGCATATAATAAATAGGAGTTATAAAGCTTCAACTCCTTTATGTAACATATATCAATATTAAAATACGGAAAATGAAGGAAAATTAGTTGCATCATTAAAAAAAATAAGTTCCGGAGGTACCTGAAGAATTGTATATGCTGCATATTTGATGTGAAAACAACGTTAAAAATTTAGTTCTGAACTTTGGTGGCGTTAGTGTACCTATCTCTGAATCTTAAATTTACATTATGAAT